GGAATGCTCGGCCAACGCTCAGATAGAAGGGCTTCTCCGAGAGCTTCAGGCTGCAGGCCCAGCAAGAAGTAGATGAGGCCCAGTGTTTCTGGTTCAGAGGCCTGGTCCCAGTTCTTTGGACCTACCAGCATGCCACCAGGCCTGTGCAAGGATCAGTCGTGCTAGGAGGGACCCTCTCGGAGAACCCCCAGTGCCCGCTTGGGGCCTGCACGGTGGTCGCGACAGACGGGTCTGGAGGCAAACATCACGAGGATTTTCGCATGCGTCGTTGCGGTTGGGGCTTTGCAATGAGGATGGGAGCTCGTGGCGTGGGCGCATGGCCCAGTGAACTATTGGAAGCAGACCGTCCCAATAGCAGAGCTCGCGGCCGCCATCAACGCAGTTCGCAGAACTGAAAACCCACTGGTGCTAGTGGTGCTAGTAGTAGACGCGCAGAGTGTGGTTTCGGGAATTTCCAAAGCACCCACGGCCAGACACGACAGTAATCGTAGGCTTCGGGGCAATTTTTGGAGCGCGGCAGGGGATCGGCAGATCGAGGCCATCAAGATCAAATCCCACCTGGCAGTTGAGCAGGCGCAGCAAGCGGGAATCTCTCCGCAGCATTGGTGGGCCAATCAGTTGGCCGACAGCTTCGCAGAAGAAGGTGCCCGCGCAGTCCAGTTGCCCGCAGCAAACATCCAGGCAGTCGTGCGAGTCGATGCGCTAGCCAGTGCAGTGCACTCGCGTTTGATCAGAATGGCGGCCCACATAGCTGAGCACGCCCCACGGATTTACGGAGCCTCGTCGAGGTAAGATAGGCAGCACGAGGCCGAGGCTCGGGCGGAGGGTCGGAAGGTGCTGGTAGAAGCTGCCGCAGTCACCTCCGAACACCGCTGTCGAACCGGCGCCAGGGGAATTTCCTGTCACGGGCGCAGGCCTCAGTGGCTTGGAACACCGTGCCGAGGCTGCCCGCTGCGTCTTGACCCAACCCACAGGCTCATGAGGTACCGTGGCTTGTTTTCTGGTGCCGCGCCTGTGGGGGGGTCGGGGCCAACAGTTTCTGCAAATTGGGGCAACCCTGCAACTCCAGTCACCCCATCCCCAAATACAGAGGGAATACCAACAGTGCCCTAGAGGAGTGTAGGTTGCCGCCTGGGTATAAAGAGTGGCCTCAGCCAAACGACCTGGAACCCCCCAGAGGTGACCGTGTAGAGGCACGGCCACAGCGCTACCTGTCAGAGGACGCATCCGCAAGAATCGGTCAGCGGTAGGAGGAGGAGGCGGAGGAGGAGGAGGAAGAGGAGGAGGAGGGAACAATCATAATACGAAGACGAATGATATTGTTGATAATCGTAAGAATCATAATAAGACTAGTAAGAAGAACCAGAAACATAAGCAGAATCAGAAGCAGAGGCAGATGCATAATCATAAGCAGAAGCAGAAGACTAATAAGCATAAGCAGCAACATGATACCGGAGACAAAAACCCAATCAGGGCTATAGTGCTAGGGGGCTATAGGGCTATTGAGCTAAAGGGTTATAGAGCTACAGGGCTATAGAGTTGTAGGGCTATAGGGATATTGGGCTATTGGGCTATAGGTCTATAGGGCTACAGGGCTTAGGTCTATAGGGCTATAGGGCACTCCCGGGCACCTGGGCACGCCCTGGCGCCCGGGCATCCGGGCACCCGGGCACCCGGGCCTCCCCGGGCCACCCCCGAGCACCCGGGCCCCAGGCACCCCTACAGAGGCAAGCTCTGATTGGGGAATAAGCAGACACAGAAGCAGAAACATACTACGAATCTTATCCATACTGAGAAGACGAATAATAGTACTAAGAAAAAGAAGACTTCGAAGACGAATCATACTATTACTATTATTCAGAATACTAGTATGAAGAAGAAGAGTAACACTATATACATAATAACAATGCTAATAATACTAATAAGACTATAAGGAAAATATTACAATCATGCATAATAAGAAGACGAATGCCAATACGAACGCTAACAGTCATACGAAGAACAATCATACTAATACTACGATTCATCACACTAATAATTAAGAAAAAAGGAAGAATACTAACAATCCTAATAGTAAGAATAATGAATAATACTACTACTCAGAAGAATACTATCACTAATAAGCATAATACTTCGAATCATACGAATACGAGTAATATTAATTATAGTAATGCTGATCATACTAAGGCAGAAGGCTAATCATACGAATGGTAGGAATAGTAACCATAACAATCAGAAGAAGAGCACGGATATTACTAACATGAAAATCATACTACTAATAACACGAGAAAGAACATATTAATACGGATGTTAATAATAAGAAAACTAAGAGTATTAATACTACTATTACTAAGAAGACTAATGCTAATACTAAGAATATTCTTATAAGGAAGAAGGAGAAGAGGAGGAAGAGGAGGAGGAGGTGGAGGAGGAATAGGAGGAGGATGAGGAGGAGGAGTTGGAGGAGGAGGAGGAGGGGGAGGGGGAGGAGGAGGAGGTAGAGGAGGGGGGGAGGAGGAAGAGGAGGAAGAGGAGGAGGAGGGAGGAGGAGGAGGAGGTGGGAGAGGAGGAGGAGGAATGATAATCATACGACCACTAAGAAGACGGATAATCCTAAAACTCATTTTAATAAGAAGAGGAAACATAGAGATAAACATCATTTCACAAGTACTAGCAATATTCAACATATGATTACTAATACTACGAATAATACGAATAGGAACACTAATACTAATAATGGTGTTATTCATATTAAGAGGAATAATAAGAGTATTAAGAATGCTAGTAGCAATACTAATACTACTACTCGTAATAAGAAGACTAATCATACTCTGATGAAGAATAATGAGATACTGAAGACGAATAGTACTAATAATAAGAATAGTTGAACGAATGCGAAGACTAACAATACTAATAATAATAAGAACACTAAGCAGACGAATAATAATAATAATACTACTAATAATACTACTACTAATAATAATATTAATAATAGTAATAATATTAATAATATTACTAATAATAATCATAATAATAATACTAATACTCATAATAATACTACTAATAATACTAATACTACTAATAAGAAGAATAAGAAGAGGAGGAGGGAGGAGGAGGAGGAGGAGGAGGAGGAGGAGGAGGAGGAGGAGCGACTGCACGTCAAAGTGACCTTTCGCCGGAGTGACCTTTTCGCGGGCCCAATGGGGTCCCCCGGTTGCTGAACGCGAAGCGGCAGTAGCGTTTTTGTGCGCTTGTGTTTGCCCCCGCGCGACCCCCAGAAAACCGCGCACCAAAGCCCACTCTTACCCAGGGTCACTCTTGCATGTAGTCGAGAGGTGGTCGACGGAAGATGCAGGAGGCGGGAGGACGAGGATGCATGGCCGGGGGGGGGGGGGAAGGGAGAGAGGAGGGCGGGGAGGAGGTGGAGGAGGTGCACCAGCGATGATGCCACGCCCTTCCTCACATGTCTCTACAGCCGAAGAGACATCATCATCGTCATCATCATCATCACCATCACCATCATCATCATCATCATCATCATCATCATCATCATCATCATCATCATCATCATCATCATCATCATCATCATCATCATCATCATCATCATCATCATCATCATCATCATCATCATCATCATCATCATTATCATCGCCATCGTCGTCGTCGTCATCATCATCATCACCATCATCATCATCATCATCATCGTCGTCGTCGTCGTCATCATCATCAACATCATCGTCATCATCATCGTCATCATCACCATCATCAACATACATTTCCTGAGCCCCCCGTGGACTTCTGGGGCCGCCGGCCCCCCCTCTGGCGGCGCCTCCGGCGCCGCCCCTGGCGCGCCCCGCGTGCCGGGGAGGGGGGCCCAGCGCCGAGGCGAGATCTCAGCCTGGACCTCCAGGGCTTTCTGCGGATGCAGTCCTCTCTCCTTCCAAGCCGCACCACGCACCCTCCCGTCGCAAAGTCCCCCGTCTCACGTGTCCCCTGCAAGTCCTCCCTCTCGCGCAGGGGGGGGGCAGGAGAGTGTGCCTCGAGCGGGGGGCCGAGCCGAGCGGTCGTGCGCACCGTCCGTGGGCGCGCGGCGTGTGCGCCGGAGTGGTTGGTGCGTGGCCGAGCGGCCGTGAAATCGTCCCTCGGTGCGTGGCCGAAGTGGGAGTCCGTGGAGCGGATCGGTGAAGGCGCTGTTCGGTGGACCCCTGTGGGGGTGGGGGTGCCAAGGGGCAGTGGGCAACGGAGGGCCCCTGCCCGGCGTCTCTGCTGCCCGTGGCCCCCTCCAAGTTCCTCGCGGAGCAGGAGCGATCGGGGAGGGTGGGCCCTGCAGGGGAGGGTGGGTCATCTTGAGGGCATCTCGAGCTCGTCTTGGGGTCGGCTTGCGGTCACACCGAGGTCACGCGTCATTTCGAGGCCGCCCGGGGATGACACTGGGATCGTATTCGGTGTCAGTCTGAGATCATATCGAGGCCGCTCGAGGTACTCTTGAGGTCGTGCTGATAGCTCCTCGAGGTCATATGGGTGTCGCGTTGAGGACACGTTGAGGTGAGGCCATCTTGGGGCCTCAGGAGCCCGTGGGGCCCACGTCGTGAGAAAAAAACGACGGCGGCCCAGAGGAAGGGGGAAAGGGTCACATCGAATCGGCGGCACTGGCCGAAGGCCATCACAGTCAGAGAAGCAAAGGGCGGGCGCGGCGCGCGGCGCAGACGGCGCTGTGGCGCACGGAGCGCGGCCGACCTCCCCTGCTGCGGACGGCCGACGCGCAACGATGAGGACAGGGAGCGGAAGGAGGGGGGGAAGGTTGGGGGGCGGAGGGGCGGAGGAGGGGGAGGAGGAAGAGGAGGAGGAGGAAGAGGAGGAGGATGAGGATGAGGAGGAGGAGGGGGAGGAGGAGGAGGAGGAGGAGGAGGAGGAGGAGGAGGAGGAGGAGGAGGAGGAGGGAGGAGGAGGAGGAGGAGGACGTGGGACGGCGGCGGCGGCGGAGCCGCGCGCCGCACGAGGTTCTCCTGGGGCACGGGCCACAGCTACGAGGCCCGGGCCAGCCCCCCGCGGTCGTGGCCCCGCCCTCCCCCCGCGGCGCCGCGCGGCGCTCCAGGAGCGTGCGAGCAATTTCGCGCCCTTGAGGGCGCCCTCACTTCCCCGCCTCCTCCCTCCTCCTTTTTCCTCCCTCCCTCCCTCCTCCCTCCTCCCTTCTTCCTCCTTTCCCCTCCCCTGCCCTGCCATTGCTGCGGCTGGTCCTCCTCGTTCTAGAGCCACGGTCTCCAGTTGTGCCAGCCAGCGCGCCTTCGGCAGAGTCTTCTTCCTCCTCCTCCTCCCCCTCCTCCTCCTCCTCCTCCTCCTCCTCCTCCTCCTCCTCCTCCTCCAGGAGCGTGCATCGAGGAGAGGCAGCGAACATAAATTTTGCGCACCGCGGCCGTGGATCGGAGTGCGGCGGTCAGGGTGCAACAACCCGGGCACGTTTTGAATTCGGCACGGGCGCCGGCAGATCCTGTGGCCGGAGACCTTCCCGATCCGGCCCCGCCGAGTCCCGCCGAAACCGGCTCACTCTCTGTGCCCACTCCAGGCTAATCTGGTTGAGTGGCCCCTTGATCGGGCCTGATAGCCCTTAACCAGCATAGACAAAAAGTCCGAGACAAGTTATCGAGCTTATTTTCGGAACGCTTGCGAGTTACGAGAGTTCTCGAAACATCATTATCGCAATACTGTCTCGAACTTGTGGTCTAAGAAACATTGCTCTGGAGTCTCGTAACAAGTTCTTGCGAAGACCTCCGAAGGAGAAGGCCTTCTCAGGAGGCGGCGGGGCTTCTCAGAAGCGCTCCGGCCTTCTGAGAAGTGTTCTGTGTCTTCGGGGAAGGCTCAGATAACCTCTCAGGAGACCACGGGACTTCCGAGCCTTCTCACTTTCCCTCCCGGCTCGGCGCCGATGATATCAGGTGTTTGGCTTTAGCTTAAACGCTTGGCTTTCTGGGACCTCAGGATGCGGGGGCTTTTGCTCTCTGTCTGTCTCGCTCCCCTCCAGCTCCTTGGGGTCAACCTGGGGGTCGGCCTCAGGTGGCCCAGGGCCGGTCCCTCCAGAGCCCCACTCTGGAGGGCCACGAGATTCCGGGTTCGGACAGCCCGCGCGGCCCGCCATGTCGCCGTGCTGGGCGCCAGGTGGCTGGGGGGCGGCTGCTGCGGCAGGGCCGCCACCGGCGACCGCCAGGCGGGCGGCCAGGCGCACGACGGCGCCTGCGCCGGCTCGACGCCAGGCGAAGGCGACCGCGCGCAGCCCCGCGCCGGCGCTCGCCCGGAGCACCCGCGTGAGCGGGCTGGTCGCCCGGCGCCCCGCGGCGCTGGCCACCGCCTGCCGCTTGGGGCTGCTGGGTGCCGCTGCGGTGATGAGCGTGACGGTGCCCGTGGGCAGCGCGGTGGAGTTCCCGGGCATCCGGCCGCAGTGCGAGCCCGTCGCAGTGTACTACGACGACGGGGCGTACAGCGAACCCATGCATTGGGGGACCACGGCGATTCGTCCGTCGACGACGCCGAGGACTCCAGGGGGTCAGAGCTCGGCGAGCGAGGGCTATCGCCGGCGGGCGGAGCCCCGCCTGGCGATCCGCCCGAGCCGCCAGCTGCCCCGCCAGGGAAGGACGCCTCGAACACCTCCCTCATTGATTCCTCTTCAGACCCTTCCTGGATCGGGGGCCGGGGCCTGGGCTATCTCAGCTGGGGGAACCTCGGAAACCACACCTGGTCCTGGAGGGTTGAGGGGGTGGGAGGTTGGGCTCAACAGGATTCCGGCTGTCTGTACTCAGACGAGGGCTGGATCCTGTTTCTGGTCTACAACTGCGGCGCGCGCCTGTTCGGCGCCGCCTGGACCGTCGTCGGCTGGGCCATCATCGTGCTGAGCTGCGCTGGCGTCGTCGCCCTGACGGCCCGCAGCTTGCGGACCATTCGCGCCTTGTGCGTGGGTCTGCTGGATCGTAGGAGCAGCCGCCGGCCTCTGCCGCGCGTGCTGCGGCTGCGCCCGACGATCGCCAGGCGAAGCAGAGGTGGGCCGCCTGCTGCCGCCGGCGCCCCCGCAGCCCACGACGGTCGTCTGGAGAGGGCCCGCCATTGGTCCCAGCGCAACGACATCCCTCTACCAGAAGACGATCAGGGCGCGGGGGGCCGGGCGCAAGCCCAACGACTTATTCGTGCGCGTGGGTGGACATGCAGCGCGACTCGGATTAGTCCTTGATGACCCGGAACGCATCGGGAAGAAGGGGTCTGGATCCAGTACAACAAAGTCAACGGCGCGAGTGCCCGGATCCTCCGGCAGAAGCTCAAGCAGGGCAAGTGGATCCACTTGTGCCGGTGCAGGGATTGCCAGCAGAAGGGCGAGAAGGATATCCGCTGCGTGCAGTGCGCTGCGCTGGATTCGGCCGCCATCATCGACATCGGTGCCCGTGCTCGGTTCACCGCATGCAGGCTCTGCGTGTTGGCGGGGCGCGCGATTGCCAGTGGGGCCCGCGTGTCCGCCACCAGTCTGATGTACCTCCTCCACCCGGCTTGCAGCTGCGGGCGCAGCAGCCGCCGGCGCCGCCGCCGCCGTGGATCGGCAGGCGCTGCGGAGCCAGGCGTAGCTGGGAGAGTGGCGGAGCTCCTGGATCAAGAGGCGGAGTCCGAGGGTGAAGTTGAGGAGCGCCCCTGCGAGGCCGTCAAGGTCGGCGTCCCCATCAAAGGCGTGATGCGCCCGCTGGTCCCTGTGTGGCTGCCGCGACGCAGCTGGCGCGACGCCCGTGACCTTGCTCTGGGAAGACGGGCAAGCTTCGGACCTGCCGCCTCCCGCCGACGGCGAGAACGCGACGGTCTGCCTCTGCGAGCGCCGCGAGCAGGTGTGCAAGGCCACGGATCGGCGACAATGCTCGATCGTCACCTGCTTCCACCGGGCCGTCTGGTCATCAGCCGGCGCCCCACTCTGCCTCGCGCACTTTGGCGGCGAAGCCGGGCGAGCCGCGTGGCGGCCAGCTGCAGCGGCTTGCCCCCCTGGCGGGATGTTCGCCGGCCTCGGGCGCCGCGTCGCCCGTGGCGGAAGGGGCCCCAGGGTGCCAGCCCGGCAGCCCCAATTGGCGCCGGCTACAGCACCCCCCCCCCCTAGGCGCGGCTCACCCGCGCTGGCTAGTGGGCTTCGGCTTCAGTCCGCGCGCGCTTCGAGTCGAGGACAGTGCCCGTGCCGGCGTCGAGCCCCGAAGGCCTCGGCCTCGGCGACCTGGGGCGGGCGACCCGAGGCGCCTGCCCATCCGAGCTCGCGTGAACCGGCCCAGCGGGGTGGAGTGGATCATCTTTCCCCACGGGCGCAATGGGGGTAATGCGGGGCGGGGCGACGACCTCTAGACCGGGGTCACGCGCGGCCCCGACGGGGCCAGGATCGACTTCACATTGAGGCTGGGCGAGGTGCAGGCGCATCCCGTGCTCAGCGACGCGGGTCGCCTGCCACAGAGTTTCCTCGAACGGCTCCTCTACAATTCACCCGCCAGGGCACGCGAGATGGGGGGTGCCGTTGTCGGCTCAGCATTGCCTCGACTCGTGTGGGAGAGGCTGCAGCCGTGGCAGGGGCGCCCGATTGGGGGAAGCATCGCCCTCTCTAGGCGTGGCAGTGGCAGTTCATCCGCGCCCGCGGCAGCGCTATCATCAACTGGCATTCCGCGGGCTCCGCCCCCGCTACCGGGGGCGTGCCAGTCGGGGAGAGGGGGGGCTCGACGCGGCCATGAGGGGCCTCGACGCCCGCTGGGAGCGGTTGAGCCGCAGCGGCTCGCCTCGCGCGCCCTCCAAGGGCAGCCAGGCCAGCGGCAGTGGTCGCTCGCAGTCGCTGGCGCCTCCGCGTGCGGGCCGCCGCCCCTCGCGGGGGCGAGACGACGGTCAAGGTCCAGATTCCGACGCCGACGACCCCGCCCATGGGGGGGGCCGTGCTCATCGTCTACTTCGAGGCCACGGGCAGCGGGCCCGACGAGGGCGATGCCTTGCAGCGCGTCGCTTCGGGCTTCGACGAGGAGGTCAGCACCGTTATGGAAGGCCTCGCGCCCTATGCGACCTACTTGGCGCATAGCTCGGAGACCGAAGCGGGCGGGCGCGCGCGCTCCATGCATGCCGACTGGTGGAGGGGGCAGTTATCTAAGATGCAGGCGGCCGAGGTCCAGCAGGCCACCGTGCCGACCCCGCGCCCGGCCGCCGCCTGCTTGCTGCAGCTGGAGCCGCGGCCGCCGGCCCCGCAGCCCGCGGAAGGCGTGCTGGCGGGCGTGCCCCCCTGGTGGCTGCGCCGGCGCCCGCCCCGCCGACGCTGTCGACGGACCGACCTCCCGGCCTCGCCCCCCCCGCGGGTATGCGGTTCGGAGTGTCGAGTTCGACCGAGGGCGTGCTCCCGAGCGTCGCCGGCGTCGCTGGCCCACCGAGTCAGCTGCGCAGACTCCGGGCCGGTCCAGATCCCTGGGCAGCCGGATCGTCGAGAAGCAGTGGGAGCAGCCGACGACCTCTCCGCGATGCAAGCCTGGGCCCAGGCGCTGCAGGCCGGCCGGGCGCAGCAGCGCCAGGGCCTCAAGCAGCTTCTGCACGTGATTCAGGAGGGGCTCGCCCAGAGGGACGACGGGGAGGTCGCGCAGCTCGGCGCACTGGCGGCCATCGGGAAAGTCGAGGAATTTGACGCGTTTCTCGACGAGAGGGTGCGATGCGACGCAGGTAGAGATCTGCGCGGGCCTTCTAGGCCGCGAGTTGTTTCGCGGCCTCTGACGTGCACGCGTAGGCAGCAAACGCTTGATGCTGGCCGTGGGCTGCCCGACGACGGTGGCGAACAAGGTGGGGCACCGTGTGGCGACGCACTCCTGGGGCGGCAGAGACCATCGGGACCTGGCGAGCTGGAGCCTTTCGGTGGCCGACTTCCCGGTGTGCAGGGGCGAAGATTTTGAGGAGTATGCCATGCCGGTCGAGGTCAAATTGGAGCCCCAACCACGACGTCCCGTCGTTTTCAGCCAATGGCATCGCCAGGCCCAAACGCCATCAAGTCCTGGTGCTATGGGCGCGAACACGGTGCCGAGTGGTGAGCCGCGCGGGAGAGCCCCCGGCTCTCGCGCGAGCACGGCGAGG